ACTCTGTCCAGCGCCTTTAAATATAACTGATTCTTGGTGTTTCTTTCCAATTCCATTTTTCCCTTGAAAGAACTAATAATATGGCCATTGAGAAATTCTACACTGTCTCTGGGGCTAACATTAGGGATGAAGATGATAAGAATAACAAGAATGACAGCGAGGCTTTGCTTCTGTGTCACATCCAAGTTCCTTAGACCCTTTACTGTACTTAACGAGCTCCTCCTTGGCACCCATTACCCTTGGTCAATCCCAACTTCTAGCCATGAACATTTCAGGCTTTTTTGAGCCCCCAAACCTTTGCCCCTGCTAATGATCCTGCTGCCTAGAAAGCCTGTCCCTTATCTTATTCCCTAGAAAACATTTCAACTTTAAAATCTCAGCTCAAATGTCTATTTATTTATTTATTTCACTCAATATCTAGCGAGTGCCCACTGTGTGCCAGGCACTGTCCTAAGGGCTTAGAATACACAAGCGATCAAAACAGACAGTCTTGCCTTCATGTAATTTCATTCTAGTGTAGGGGACAGCCCAATAAATAAAAGGCATAATATGTAAGATAAAGTAGGTGATATATTTGTGGGGGATTGGGAGTGGGTGTGTGCGCACAGTTTGCAATTTTAAATAGGGCAGCCAGCGAGGACCTCTCTGAGAAGGTAGGATCTGAGGCAAGCCTTGAAGGAGGTAAGGAATCCGGGTATTGACCTGGGAGAAGAGCACTCCAGGCAGAAGGACTAGTGGGGCTAGGCCCTGAAGTGGGAGCTGGCACGGTGCCGAGGGTGCTGGGTGGAGTGGTGGGAGTGGCTCAGAGGCACGCGTGGAGGCCCAGCGTGCAGGGCCTGGTGGCCTGGAGACCTGTGTGGAGGAGCGTGATTCAGCTTACCTTTCATTGGGACCCCCCGGCTGTAGCAGGGGTCATGGACTGCAGGGGTGTGGGCAGAGGAATTGGTCAGTAAGGAGGCCTGAACCAGAGGCCAGTGGTAGGGGCAGGTGGGGAGGAGTGGCCAGTTGTTGGGCATATGGTAGTTTTCCCATGGAGCTGATGGATTGGATGTGGAGTAAGAAAGTGAGCGAGACTTTGAAGATGGCTTTCAAGGATTGGGGCCTGACAGTGCCCTTGAGGGGTCCTTTCCGGTTCCCTCATTCAGAGTCCTGGCATCATATTTTTTATGTTTTATTATAATCGTTTGTCTCCTATTTCTGACCTCAGATACCTTTGGTAATCTGATGAGAATTATGGACTCTCTTCCCAGAAAAATACCCTTGTGCATTCAATCAAATGGGTATTCCCAGAACTCCCAGCAGGTCATCCCCGATATCAGGAGCCCCTGGCCAGTGTGTGTTTGCTTGACTGGCTGCAAAACAGCAGGGGGTACCAGTCACACTGCACACAACGCGAGAGGGAGCCAGAGCCCTGCAGAGCGGTCCCTGATGGTGGCCGAGAGCCTCCGACTGGTGGTTGAGTGTTTACAGGCAAGTTGGTATCTGAATATGCACTGGGTCCAAGCTTTTTTTAAACCCTCATTGTGTATGTAACAGCCACACAGTAAGCACTTTATAAATGTTTGCTGAAAGGCAATGATGATAAACCTGGCACTTTATGGGGTTCTCGTACCTTTGTGGGGCGCCTTGAGTGTTAATGCCTCCATTTTATAGCCTGAGAAATAAAGGCTCAGCGAAAGGATGTGTGCAGTGCTGGGAGAGGCAGTGCCTGGCGTCTGACCAGGATTGGGGTGAGGGTTGGCCGATTTGGTGCTTAGTCAGCCTCATCAATTTCATCCTAGGGCTGGTTGTGGTGAAGCTAAGACTGGAGCCCAGGACCAGGCTCCCCGTTTGATGTTTTCTGGTTCTGCGCCCAGGAATTTATAATCTGGCTAGCATTATAAAGGAGAACAAGAAAGAAAGGATCCTAAACGGCTTTCACTTTTCTCCTAGTTAATCCTTAGAGCAGCCCTGTGAGATGGACCTTATTAATATCCCCTTTTTACAGATGAGGAAACTGAGGCTCAGAAAAGGCAAGCAGAGTTCAAGGCTCTTCTCGAAGTCTCCAAATCCCTCAGATAATTAGTGAGCAATATATATAGTTAAATGCTAACAACTTATCATTTAATCATACAGCACTCCACACTGTATTGAATATAATTTAATACTAATTGCAGGGTTTCAGGATGAGCTGAAGTGAGCGGGAAGAGATACTTTGGGAACTGAACTGGGCCTTGGGGAGGATAGAGTGGAGACTTTGGGTGGAGGCTGGAGGGGGATGGAGTAGATTTCTGGAGAACAGGAATAGAATGATTAAGGCATCAGTGTAGGACCGAGCCTAGGTGGGAGTGGGGATTGGCTAGGATAATGCTATTTAAATAATGGAACTTTATAAATGTAAATGTAAGTGACGTTTATTGAGAGCTTTCTAGGTGCCATGTACTGTGCTAAGTCCTTGCCACTGTTACTACGTGGAATCCACATTCCCCTGTGAGAGAAAGAAAAATCCACCCAGACAGGTACTGCATTAACTCCATTTCACAGATGAGGAAAGTAACAGCAGTGGTGTGACTTGGAGCCAGGCTGGACTCCAAAGTGAGTGTTCTTCCCAACTCAAGTCCAGAGGCATCCATTTAGAGGTGCTACAGATTGTGAATAGTGGGGAACAAGAAAGACTAATCTAGGGCCTTGCTTCTCAAAGTGTGGCCCATGGGCATTGCCGGGGGCTTGTTAAAAATGCTCCCTCCCCAGTCCTACTGAATCAGAGCCTGCATTTCAGCATAATCCCCAGTGATTTGTGTGCACTTACCATTTGAGAAGGACAGTCTGGTGGAAAGTTTGGCTGGATATATGCTAGTGTTCTTCAAGTCTTTCCGATGACTTCTTCCTCCTGGCAAAGGCGAGTAAATGCATTACTGGAGGGTCTGAGGTGAAAGCCCAGGGCAGTCTACCACTAACTGAGATCTCTTTGAAGTCTCATGTTTCATCTAAAAATGTCATCAAATTCCATACCATAATATATCAGTGGTCATTTTAATATTTCAAAATGGTTATGTAAATTGCCTTGGAGTAGGATCCCAGTTCCTGGAAGATGCATGGGATGGGTTTCCTTGTATCTTAAATGGAGTAATAATAACCACTTCAAGGGCTACTGTGAAGATCAAAGGAGAATCATGTATATAGAAATGCTGCATAAATTGTCCGCATCATCCACATGTTGTTATTCTGGAAGGAACTGAGCCTCCTCCCCAGACCTAGTGTCCTGCAGCCAGCTCTCCTCAGGCCTCAGCTCTGAACTAGGAGTGACTCTCTGGGTCCCCTTCCTTGTAATCAGAAAGAGAAGCGACGACAGAGGGAAGAGACCCAGAGAGGTGAGATGGACAGAGTCAATGACCATCCACATCTGAGGCCAAAGGAGGAGGGGTAGGCAGAAAGAGAGGCCCAGGCAGAAAGCTACGAGGGAAGGGAGGCTCATTCAGAACTGCAGAAAGCTGGAGGAGGAGGGTTCAGGCAGGGGCAGGTGGTCAGCAGTTCCCCATGGCCTGGAGCAATTGAACAGGATGAGGGAGGTAAGAGCTGTTATATTTGGTTAAGGAGGTTTGGGTCACCCTTGGGTAGGGGTGTAGTAGAATAATGGGGTTAAAACCAGATTTTGACAAGAGAATGATGGAGATTCTTTTTTTTTTTAATCTCTTCTCCCTATGATAATTGTTAGGATTTTCACACAAATTACATTTCTATTACAAATGTCTTACTTGCCATTTTAAACTTGATCCCTGTAACTTGTCACTAGAACCAAGTTGATATTGTCTCTTTAATCCATTCCTTGGCAAAAAAGTTATTTAAGAAACATAGAAAATTGCAAAGCATTGTTTATAGTATGATCCTATTTTTGTTTAAAAGAATGTGTGTAGGTATTTATAAATATGTATGTATGTATATTATAAACAAAGTAAAACATGTAGAGGAATATATATCCAATTAGAATAGGAGTTTTACTGGAATATACATATGTCTCTTTAAATATGTATAGTTTCATTAATTTTCCCTTCATAAAGCTGTAAAAACATTATGTTGTCAGATTATGATATTGACTTATAATTCTTTGGGCTGCAAATGACAGAAACTCAGCTGAAACTTATAAAGCAGGAACTAAATTGTCCAGGTATGTCTTCAGGCATGGGTGGATCCAGGGGCTCAAATGATGTCAGTAGGAGTCTGTCTATCTTCTCTCGGATCTGCCGTCTTCTTTATTGGCTTCATTCTCACACAGTTATAAGCCTGCATCTCATCAGCTTAGCCCTGCAGTGGAAAGAGAGCAGCTTTTTCCCAAGAGTATCGTCCAAACCCAGGACTGACTTTCAAGAGCTCAGCCCTAGACCAGTGAATCAATGTGGCTGGGGGAAGCACTATGTAGATTGGCAAGGCCAAGGCCAAGGTCATGTGACACAAGAGGAGAATAAAGGAACCTTTAAGGGCATCTAAGGAAGCCAGCGAACTGAAAAAAGGGGCTGAGGAAATCCAGAGCTCTGTTGCCAAAAAGGCATGTGCAAACCCCAAATGTCTGCCCTCTGAGTGACATATTTTTGTTAAGGAGTAAGTTGCTTATAGTAAGCATGCGTTTCTCTTTCAGTGGCAAGAGAAAAATGAGATCCCCTCTTAAACAACTGATTTAGGTTATATTTGGTTATGACCATGGAGATAAGTAAATAATGAGTGTGGAGAGAAGGTAAAGCCCAAATCTCGTCCGAGCCCTTGATTTTTTATAGGGCATGGGAGAAACGAACAGTGGCATGGGCTGGGGAATTGACGTAGATCGTTAGTTGTGTGTGTTCAAGACCCATTGGGCCATCCGACAACCTCTGGGGCTCTGGGTCGCCAGAGTGACGCGCCCAGGGAGCTGGGCCTGCGTCAAGGTCAGCCTCTGCCTCGTGGCCTCGTGTGCAGTGTGTGTTGCACCTGGGCTTCAGTAAATGCTTCTCCGCGTTCCAATATCACACTGCTCTGTTTCTTCATTTCAGGGTTACACTAAGGACATGGTGACAGACTTTGATGAGAAACATGATGAGTATTTAATATTGCTTCAGCAGAGGAACCGGTAAGACGAAGCCGCTTGTCGGCAGCCCTTGATATTAGCCAAATAAAAACCCTATTTAGATTTATTAACGGCACACAGGCTCTGGTTCACATTGGAATGGGTTGCAGTCACCTCCGCTTAGAGGTTGGAATATTATCTGCGATGCCAGCCCTTATTTCTCCATTCACTGATTTAATTGCATCTTTTGATTGAGCTGTAGCAAACTGTTCCACGTGTGCCTGCCTCTTGCCTCCCTGCTTCTGTTCTGGGAGAAGGTAGGTTTGTCATGAAAAGCTAGAATTTGGCAGGGCCTGTGCATTAGTCACCTGAATAGCCCAGTCTGTGATCTTACAGGCTGTGCCGGTCCTTTGAAATCTGAGCCTGTAATCATGTCTTGTTATGTAAAGGTGGACTCATTTTACATTTGTGTTTGAAAGTTGGTCGATATGTCATTTAAAGTTAAGTTAGTATGGATTTTGACTCTAGAGGGCTGGTTTTTGAAAAAGCCTGCAGTAGGTGCAGTGTTTCGTGACTGAGGTCACAGCACCGGGGTCTGGTTTGAAAGGCATCGTGTCCTCAGGGCTGTGGAAGTTTGCAGGGCTGTGGAAGTTCATTTTCAGTTTACTGTGGTCTGTCTAGAGGTCTGGAACCTTGCAGTAAGCTGGGTTTGCAAACTGAAATGTTAGGAGGGGCCAGGCAGTGAGTGAAGCTGGCTCGGTGGGGACAATGGACACCCAGAATTCTTACATCCAAGCTGTTCTGCCTAGGCCGGTTGTTTGTGAGAACACATATCCTCCCAAGGTTGCAAGAGAAGCTGGAAATCTGAGTTTGTGTTGTGAAACCTCCTGTGTTTTAAAATGTTGGTAATAAATTCAAATGAAAGTGAAAAACAAATGGAAGACGGCTGCAGGCCCCTAAAACCTACCTGCAGGAGCGGGAGGGATGGGATGCTACTTTGGGCCTTTGTGTTCTGGAAATGAGCTCGGGGTCTCTGACTGGCTGGATTCCCAGCGCCTGCCACCTGGGGCCCCAGTGGCATGTTGCATGGGAGAAGTTTTTATGTGCAAGGTAGTCCCATGTGTGGTAGGGGTTTAGCGTTCCTGCCCACCAGCTCCTTTACTAAGTTTCACTAAGACCCCCAGTACCTATGACAACAACACCCGCCCACATTTCCAGATACCTCTGGTGAGGCAGCACCTCTCCCAGTTGGAGAACCTCTGGACAGATAACTCCCCAGGACCAACCAGAAATGCCTGGCGCTGTCCTCTGTGCCCAGCTGTTCTGTGCCCATCTCTTTCCAACCCAAGGGCCACCTCCAACTCGAATAGCAGAAGGCTTGTGCTAATTAGCCCAACGTGGGTTTTTATCATCATCAATGCCATGGAACAAGATGCTTTTATTCAGTTTCTGGCAGGCTAGATGGTGCCCCCGAACACCTAGGTGACTTATCTGGGAGGAGAGTGTCAGATGAGCAAATTACTTCTCATTAATCGAGGGATCAATAAGTGTATGATCAAAGAGGCAGCAGCCAATAGCACATAGAGACTATCTAATGACCAGGTTGCAGCACAAAGGCAATTAAAAAATATATCAAAACTGAGTTGCCATAAAATTTGGGGGATGTATTGTCACCGAGAAGAAGCTGGTTTGAGGACAGGAAATTAGAAGGTAGAGCTAGAAAGAAACACACCCACATGGAGAAATATGGAGAGGGCGAGTGCCCCTGAGCTATCATCGGTGTTGGTTTTAAGGCACCTTTGGAGTGCCAGCTGCGTGCCAGGCGCCTCTCTCCCATCATTTCATTTCATCAGCACACTGTCTGATGAGGCAGGTGCAGTTACTACACCCATTGTACAGGCAAGGAGGTGGAGACCCAGAGCTGCATGCAATTTGCCCAAGGTCGTATGGCCAGGAAGTGGTGGAGCTGGGCTGTACTTTCTTATTTATGTTTTGTTCGGCATCGTCATAAATAATCATGAGGAGAAAAACCTGCCAGGGAAGCCAATGGCTCTAAGTTCACTACAGAGGGGTTTTGTGGGAATAAACTGCAGTTTTCTTGGAAATCTACTTACATGACTGGGTAGGAAACCAGCCTCTGAGCTTTAGACTGGGTCTAGAGAGAGATGAAAACCCAGGCTGCTTTTCTGGGTTGCCTTGTGACCTTCGAAGTGGGTGTGCAGTCATTGCAGTGAGTTTCAGAAGAGATCTGCCAAGAGCACAGCGGTCCAAAGATGCCGGGTGACATTATTCTTTTATTCATTCAGTAGGAGTTATTGAGTACCTCTTAGTGCCTAGCATCACCACTAGTATGAAGGAGAACATTGTGATGAGAAAGACGCAGACTGTTAGTTAATGCTCCTTTGCTGGAAGGGACAGAAGCCCAAGGTCAATGGACTTTAAACAACAAGGAATCTTAGCTGGCTCATGAAATTAAGAAATCCAGATAATACTCTGGCTTCAGGCATAGTTGGATCCAGGCACCCCAGTTATGTCTTCATCTCTCAGCTCTGTTTTCTCACGTCGGAGTCATCTCAGGCATGTACTTCCCTCACGGAAGGCAGCCACTGGAAGCCCCACACTTACATCCTACCTCAAGGCGGGAAAGAAAGAGAGCACTTCTTTCGTAACAGTTCTAGTAAAAGTGTTGAGAAGGACTCCCGCTGGTCTGGCTGGGGCCCCATTCCCATCTTTGAGCCAGTCGCCCCCTGTGTCTGGTGAGGTGACATGGACCGACTGGCTAATCCTTGGCCACCCCATTAAGCCGGGGGGTAGAGTGAGTCTCACCAAACCACGTGGGGTGAGGAAGGAGTGGAGCAGCGCCCAAAAGGAATCTGCGGGGCTGTGTTTCGAAGACGGGGGACAGGTACCAGGCAGGCAAAAAGAAAAGGTGTCTACCACACAGCCCTTGCTCTGGAGGAATTCCCCCTTGCCACCCAGGTGAGCACCAGGCCACCTGTAACTATGCCAGAAAAGCGAAAGTGATCATGTTCTCCGGGAAAGGCCTGGGGAGGGTGAGGAGATGTGACAGTCTCCGTTCACCCTGCACAAACCCTCCCGGAGAACTCTGAGTGATTCTGGTCACTCAGCTTCCTGAAACATGTAATCACACACAACAAGACTCATGAAAAAGTAAGCAGAGTGACCAAAGGGCTGAGATATGAACAGCGACTGAAGAGTTAACGGCCAAGGGGACATAACACACACCTCTTGATGTGGAAGGTGGGGCAGGTTCAGGAATCCAGCAGTGGCATTATTTGCTTTTTGGAAAACATCATTTGCGGGAGACTTACAGGAAAATGTGCCCTCTGAGGGGTGGACCTACTGCCTCAAGAGGAAATTCAGGCAGAAAGAAGGAAGGGGAGAACCAGCATCCAGTGGGGACCTCACACGGCTGGTCTCTGAGCTGGGGCTTCAACCTGGTCTCACATTCCGACCCCATGACAACCCAGAGA